AGGAGGAGACGAGGAGGAGATGGAGAGGGAGGAGACGAGGAGGAGACGAAGAGGAGGAGGAGGAGACGAGGAGGAGACGGAGATGAGGAGGAGGAGGAGGAGACGAGGAGGAGGAGGAGACGAGGAGGAGGAGACGACGACGAGGAGGAGACGGAGACGAGGAGGAGGAGAGAGACAGAGACGAGGAGGAGGAGGAGACGGAGATGAGGAGGAGACGGAGACGAGGAGGAGACGGAGACGAGGAGGAGACGGAGACGAGGAGGAGACGGAGACGAGGAGGAGACGGAGACGAGGAGGAGACGGAGACGAGGAGGAGACGGAGACGAGGAGGAGACGGAGACGAGGAGGAGGAGACGGAGACGAGGAGGAGGAGACGATGAGGAGGAGGAGGAGATGAGGAGGAGGAGGAGGAGACGAGGAGGAGGAGGAGACGAGGAAGAGGAGGAGGAGGAGACGAGGAAGAGGAGGAGATGAGGAGGAGGAGGAGGAGGAAGAGACGAGGAGGAGAGGAGGAGACGACGACGAGGAGGAGGAGGAGACGAGGAGGAGGAGGAGACGACGAGAGAGGAGGAGGAGAGACGACGAGGAGGAGGAGGAGGAGACGGAGACGAGGAGGAGGAGACGAGACGAGGAGGAGGAGGAGACGAGGAGAGGAGGAGGAGGAGACAAGGAGGAGGAGGAGGAGACGAGGAGGAGGAGACGAGGAGGAGGAGGAGACGAGGAGGAGGAGGAGACGAGGAGAAGGAGGAGACGAGGAGGAGAGACGACGATTAGGAGGAGGAGGGGAAAGAGACGAGGAGGAGGAGATGGAGACGAGGAGGAGGAGGAGATGGAGACGAGGAGGAGGAGGAGATGGAGACGAGGAGGAGGAGATGAGAACGGGGGAGGAGAGGAGAGAGGAGAGACGGAGGAGACAGAGACGAGGAGGAGGAGACGGAGACGAGGAGGAGGAGGAGACAGAGACGAGGAGGAGGAGGAGGAAATGGAGACGAGGAGGAGGAGACGGAGACGAGGAGGAGGAGACGGAGACGAGGAGGAGGAGATGGAGAGGAGGAGGAGGAGACGAGGAGGAGGAGGAGACGATGAGGAGGAGGAGACGAGGAGGAGGAGGAGACGAGGAGGAGGAGGAGACGAGGAGGAGGAGAAGGAGGAGAGACGAGGAGGAGAAGGAGGAGGAGACGAGGAGGAGGAGGAGGAGACGAGGAGGAGGAGGCGAAGGAGGAGACGAGGAGACGAGGAGGAGGGGAGACGAGGAGGAGAGGAGCGAGGAGGAGACGAGGAGGGATGAGGAGGAGACAGAGGAGGAGCGACGAGGAGATGATTAGGAGGAGGAGGAGGAGGACAAGGACGAGGAGACGAGGAGAGGAGATGACGAGGAGGAGGAGAGACGAGGAGAGGAGGGACGAGGAGGAGAGGAGGAGGAGACGAGGAGGAGGAGGAGTAGGAGGAACGACGAGAGGAGGAGGAGGAGACGAGGAGGAGGAGGAGGAGGAGACGAGGAGGAGGAGGATGAGGAGACGAGGAGGAGGAGGATGAGGATGAGAGAGAGGGAGGAGGAGGACGACGACGAGGAGGGGAGGGAGTGGAGGAGGAGGAGGAGCGAGGAGGAGGAGGAGACGACGACGAGGAGAGGAGACGAGGAGGAGGAGGAGGAGGCGAGGAGGAGGAGGAGGAGACGATGACAAGGAGGAGGAGGAGGAGGAGACGAGGAGGAGGAGACGACGACGACGAGGGGGAGGAGGAGGAGACGAGGAGGAGGAGGAGGAGTAGGAGGAGACGACGACCTTGCCAATAAAATCCCAAGCTCAGATACCCCACCCAATGACTACCTCATTGGCAACTACCCGAACACACTGTTCCTAGCTCCGACTAACCCTACTGAAGTCTCTCTTATTATCAACACACTAAAAAACAAGACAGGAGATTTAAATACCTTCCCACCCTTTATATACAAAAAAGTGTCACGAGTGCTATCACCAATCATTGCAACAGTCTTAACAAATCCATAGAATCCTCTACCTTCCCTACAGTTCTCAAAATAGCAGGGGTCACCCTGATCTATAAAGGAGGAGACCAAACAGACTTGAATAACTATAGGCCAATATCCAACTACACCCCTCCTAAAATCTTCGAAAAATTAATTCATAAGTGAATCTATTCCTACCTCATCTCCAACAACATACTCAACCCCTATCAATTTGGGTTCAGGCCTAATAAAAATATTAACGATGCTATTATACACATGCTAGAACACATATACACTGCAATAGAGAAAAAAGAAATCCCACTGGGGATCTTCATTGACTTATGTAAAGCTTTTGATACAGTTGACCATTACTTGCTCCATATAAAATTGTCGCACTGTGGTATAAGAGGGCACTCCCGCAACTACCTAAGTCTTACCTCGGCAACAGAAGCCAATATGTGTACACAAACGGAGCAAACTCTTCCGCACAGCCAATTACAGTTGGTGTCCTACAGGGAAGTGTCCTAGGCCCTCATCTCTTTCTCATATACATAAATGACCTACCAAATGCATCGCAACTACTCAAACCCACACTATTTGCAGATGACACTACATACGTCTTCTCTCACCCGAGCCCAGTCATGCTAGCCAATGCTGTAAATACCGAATTGCAGAAAATATCTACCTGGATGAGGACTAACAAACTTACTCTAAACATTGACAAAACCTACTTCATTCAGTTTGGTAACAGAGCTACAGACGTCCCTCTTAACATAATGATAAACGGATCACCTATCACAAAACTTACAGAGGGAAAATTCTTAGGAATCCACCTTGATAATAGCCTCAAATTTCAAACACACATACAACAAATTTCCCAAAAAATTTCCAAGACCATAGGCATACTATCGAAGATACGGTACTATGTTCCACAGTCAGCCCTCCTGACCCTATATCACTCACTTATTTACCCCTATCTCACCTGTATTCCCCTATCTCACCTGTATTCCCTGGAACGCAGGAGGGAGAGATACATGATTATATACACCTGGAAAATCCTAGAGGGACTAGTACCGAACTTGCACACGAAAATCACTCACTACGAAAGCAAAAGACTTGGCAGACGATGCACCATCCCCCCAATGAAAAGCAGGGGTGTCACTAGCACGTTAAGAGACCATACAATAAGTGTCAGGGGCCCGAGACTGTTCAACTGCCTCCCAGCACACATAAGGGGGATTACCAACAGACCCCTGGCAGTCTTCAAGCTGGCACTGGACAAGCACCTAAAGTCAGTTCCTGATCAGCCGGGCTGTGGCTCGTACGTTGGTTTGTGTGCAGCCAGCAGCAACAGCCTGGTTGATCAGGCGCTGATCCACCAGGAGGCCTGGTCACAGACCGGGCCGCGGGGGCGTTGACCCCCGAAACTCTCTCCAGGTAAACTCCAGGTATGGAGTTTGTGCATGGGGCTCAACAACAATAAACCATCTCAGACCATTAGTTATCCAACAAAAGGCTGCAGTCAGAATGATAACAAATTCCCACTACAGGCAGCACACTCCACCAATATTCAAAACTCTAAACCTACTCACCATACAAAACATCCTTACTTATTACTGCACCTACTACATACATAGAACACTTAACTCTGATATAAACCCTCCCATCAAACGTCTCCTTACCAACCTCAACAGAACACATGACCATAACACAAGGCACAGATCACTCTTTGATGTTCCTCGTGTCCACCTCACGCTATGCAAAAACTCAATGCACATAAAAGGCCCTAAAATCTGGAATTCATTACCTGTGAATATAAAAGAAACGCTGTCTGTTTGTAAATTCAAGTCTTTTCTCAAAAGTCATGAATACATATACTCATTTCTTTACTAATCAAATAACACAAACATATGATGAGGGATCAATATGATAATAGTACAACGATCCAGTAGCTTCATTTTAGCTAATAACGAAGTTACTAGCATGATAGTATTATCAAAGTGATGAATTACATACAAGATATCGTAACAGAGGCAGAATTTTTTTTTATGTGGCGTTCACTTACTACATAGACCTATTCTCTCATATCTAGACAAAATCATGAAGCATTCCACTTTTTTTTTTTTTTTTTTTTTTTTTTTTTTTTTTTTTGAGGCCTGGTCACAGAAAAGGCCATGGGGGTTGAACCCCGAAACCCTCTCCAGGTATTATCTGTGTGAGCTGAGCTTTTTATGTACATTTGTGGCACTGACCCAGAGTTCAAAGCCATAAAAGTATGGCACTGGCCTGGAGACTGTTAATGTGATATACCTGTACTCTTTGTGTTCTGTTTTTCGGAAAGTTGAATATCCTTTTGCCTACATTCCCTGTTATATCTGTTGCCTCCTATTTGTGGGACCCCATTTACCTTTGTAGGTTATTTCCATTATTGCAACATCATGAGGTAATCTTTATTCATGCTCATCACTCATGTCACATACATTTTCTATAAATCAAGCAAATGTGAGCAGAAAGAATGTAGTTTCAGCAACATGCTGCAGCTCAGTCATTGGTAAATTTTCAGTGTTTGAACTCTGTGTTTGTGTCTGTTGAAGGATCCTTGTCCATGACAAGAAAATCTTGTCCTTTGAAACCAGTGGAGCATTAGCTACATTGAATATACTGTACTTGGAGTGATTGAGTCATGTGGTGGTCGTATGTTACAGTTCACCTTGGTTGCAACATTAAATGTTATACTGCACCCTTATTTCAAAGAATGGGAATAAAAAATTGTACAGCTGAAACTTTGCATTCTGAATCCATGAACATAAATGGTCTGGTTTTTTAAATTTACTTTCAAAATGCAAAAATTCTGTGCTTGATACACAGAAGCTGATTCCTATTTCATAATGTATACTCCTTCAAAATCATACAAATCATAATTGTTACTTTGTACATTTTTTCTGTGCTGTGTACTGTAATTTGTAGGTTGAATTACTCCATACATGGTGTATTATGATTTCTGTTCTGCAATGTAATTTATTTTATTTGACAGGGTACCAGTCAAAAAGACTTGACATGTGAAACCTGCGCCAAGAATCTGACTGATTGTATTGGTCATTATGGCTACTTGGATCTTGCCAGACCAGTCTATCATGTGGGCTACTTCAAAAACACTATACATATTCTCCAAAACATTTGCAAAGTAAGTTCATATTTATTTTATCCATTACAAATGCCTCTTTATGTTGAAGAAGTGATATAAATAACAAAAAAAGGCACAATACCGTGACTGGAACGTCGTCGTAAGCTCCTCTCTTCTATGTAAGAAGTGATATCACATTAAAGGAAAATTGCCTCTCCCCAGGCAGTGTCGTACTGTGCCTGGGGAGAGGAAGGTAACCAAGTTTGATCCAAGGAAAGAGAGAGTGGCTCCAACATTTTGGATCAGCTGTTCTTCAGCATGAAGGCATCCCCCATGAAGAGTGACCTTAATTATGAATGACTTTGAAGAACAAGTACTGTTGATTATTTTAACAGCTCTTAAATATGGATATTCTGAGTGAACAATTCATTGTATGTACAGTAAAGTCTTAATATAACACACCTTGCTATAGTAGACTCAGAAGTGATCGACTTCTTAACCCCTTGACTGTCGCAACCCCAAATACTGAGGTGTCTACTGATGTCGCAAAATTTAAAAAAAAAAGAAATGATAATCTTTTCCCAATTGTAGTGACACCAAAAGAACAAAATTTGATGGAAAACTGACGGAATTACACTCTTGCAAAGTTAGCGACCTCGGCGATATTTACGAATTGGCGATTTCGCCCACTTTGAGCCCTATTTTCGGCTAATTCCATTCTTCCAGTCGACCAAACTCATAGCTATTTCTTTAGAACTCCATTTTTTCTATCAATTAAGTACAAGAAACTGCCCATTTACTGATTTTAACTATCCAATAACTTGGTCAGAAATTTGCAATTTGGCCAATTTCACAAAAATTAAAAAATATGACAATTTCAAAATAGGGTTCAGAATGAACAGTGCAGACATTCCTGGCTCTAAAATAACATTTTCTTTGTTAATCAGTCATGTCTCCAGGCTCCTCTGATATTACTCTTGCTTTCTATCTTGAATTTTTATTCATACAAAAAATAGAAGATTTACTGTTATGCAGACTACTGCAATATTGTAATAATTGTATAAATAATGTCAACCCATTCATGACTGCATATTAGAATGGCTACTTGGACATTTATTGAAAAATGGCATCATTTGTTTACTTTTGAACATCGGCAAAAATCAAACATTTCCCCTGCTTTGAGCTCTATTTCAAGGTTCTTTTCATAGAAAAACCAGTCAAAATCACCACTGCTCCTATAATATGTTTTTCATTCTATCCAATGAGACCAAGAAAACGAGAATACAACCATAAATACTATACGAAAATAGACCACAAAGTCGGCATTTTAATTTAAAAAATGGCCGGATTTTTTTTTCTCATTATGCACTGTGTGCTGCAGGATTTTTTTATATGGTGCACACTGACCACACAGACCCATTCTCTAACATGTGGGCCTACCAGCTTTCTTCTGCTTGATTTGAAGCCGCTAGAATTTATGAGTATATATACGTTAAAAACAGTGGCTCATAAGACGTATATATATGAGCAAAACAGTCAAAGGGTTAACCCTTTCAGGGTTTTCGATGTACTAGTACGGCTTACGCACCAGGGTTATTGACGTACTAGAACGCCTAAATTCTAGCGCCTTCAAATCTGGCGAGAGAAAGCTGGTAGGCCTACATATGAAAGAATGGGTTTCTATGGTCAGTGTGCGCAGTATAAAAAATCCTGCAGCACACAGTGCGTAATGAGAAAAAAAAAACTTTGACCCTGTTTTTGGATTAAAACAGCGACTTTGCACTGTATTTTTGTATGGTATTTATGGCTGCATTCTAGTTTTCCTTGTCTTATTTTATAGAATGGAAGACATATTACTGAAATTAAGATGATTTTGTTTGGTTTCACAATGAAAAGTACCTTGAAATTGAGCTCAAAGTAGCAGAAATGTTCGATTTTTACCAAAGTTCAAAAGTAAACAAAGCATGCCAAGTGTCCAATACACGTCAACTGTTGAGTCTAATATTCTTTCACAAGTGTGCTGATATTATTTATACCATTTCTACACTAATGCAGTAGTCTGCATAACAGTAAATCTTTTATTTTTTGTAAGACTAAAAATTCAAAGTGGAAAGCAAAAGAAATATAAGAGGGGCCTGGGGACATGACTAACTAACAGAGAACTTGTTATTTTAGTGCCAGGAATGTCTGTCTTGTTTATTCTGGACCCTATTTGGAAAATGGCATCTTCTGAAATTTGTGTGAAATTGGCAAAATTGCCAATTTCTAACCACTTTATTGGATAGTTGAAATTGGTAAATGGGTGGTTTCTTGTACTCATTCGATAGAAAAAATGGAGTTCTAGCGAAATAAATATGATTTTTGTCAGCTAGTACACAGGAATTGGCCGAAAATAGGGCTCAAAGTGGGCAAAGTCGACGATGTTTACGCATCGGCGAGGCCGCTAACTTAGTGAGAGCATAATTCCATAAGTTTTCCATCAAATTTCATACTTTTGGTGTCATTATGATCGGGAGAAGATTCTCTATCATTTCATAAGAATTTTTTTTTCCCGAAAAATTTTTGACCCTGAGAACAAGTTTAGGAGAGGGCCTCTTGACTGTGAATGGGTTAAAGAAGAGACAAAATTCACTGGGTAAATTGGACCTTTTTCTCATGAATTGTTGATATTTATTGCAGTATATCTGTAAGTTGTGTGTAGTGTGATATACTAGGTACACAGTAGAGTACTTCACATCTTCTTTCTTAACATTACTCTAATTTAAGAGACATTTGCAAGATCTCTTATTATTCTGTTATATATATCAAAGGTTTGCTGCACTTGATTTTTTGTATTAATGTTTATGGACTAACGTCTCAAATTTTCCAGACCTGTGCACATGTTTTACTGAAGCCTAAAGACAAAGGTAGCTTGTGTGAACAGGCAAAAAGAATTAACTCTTATCTGCAGAAGAAGGCACTCTACAAGCGTATTAATGAACTTTGCAAGAAGATATCTCTGTGTGCTTACTGTGGTGCTCAGAATGGAACAGTGAAGAAGCTTCCTCCACTGAAGATTGTTCATGAAAGATTCAAGACTGTCAAGAAAGGGGATCCCATTCTCACCAATTATTTCTGTGAGTTTGTGCTTTTTAAAATGTTCATATTTCTTGTGGTTCCCTTCAAGAGTGTTATGATGTTACTGAGGGGCTCTTCATTCAGAGAATTAGAGCTGTAGTGATTGCTTTCCCATTTTTTATACAGGTGAAAATTTGGGTTACTCATCACACAAGCTCTTCTCATCTTCTTATTGTCTCGAATTGAATGATTTGTTGATTCTTTCACACCAAAGTCTTATACTTTTTGGCATCTTCACCAACAATAGATTTCCATGTTTGATGCCATGATTAATACCCAGATACAACATGGGGTGATGGGAAGATAAGAAATGGAATGATAATACAAGAGAGAGCAGTCGTGTGGTCAGCATTTGTGAGGCAACTGATGTTGGTGTGGGTGGAGGGGAGGGGGGGGTTGTATAAACTCCACTGTAAAACAGTGGAGGACTGAGGTCAGTGAGAGAGAAAGTATATCACCTCTTTCAGCATTATAGCTGGCCACTTTGATTGATGGTAGCAGTGAAATGAATCGTGAAGTGGCAAATGTGCAATAGCTGGAGGCGCAGAAGTACCATACAGTGGAACCCTGGATTTTGTATGCATTGGATATCGGACGTTTTTAGATTTAGAACACTTTTTTGGTGAAATTTTTCTCCTCATTTTGTACCTTGTCCCGAGAATCGTACGTATCAGATGCGTCTGTCCGCTGGGACGCCGCCTCAGTCTGGCTTTCACTGGTTGAGTGAGCATTCATCCGAAACATTTTGCAATTTTTGTTCTTGTTTATTGATTGTGACTGAAATAAGCCACCATGGGCCCGAAGAAAGTTCCTAGTGCCAACCCTTTGGTAAAGAAAGTGAGAAACATGATAGAATTCAAGAAAGAGATTGTAGAAAAATACGAAAGTGGCGTATGTTTAGCCGAGCTTGCCAGGATGTATGGGAAGTCGAAATCAACAATCTGAAGGATTTTGAAGGATTTGAGGCTGACCCTGTCGACCCTACGCCTGTTGTGGAATCTATTGTGTCTTTGGGGAAGTCCATGGAGATGGATGTGAGTGGCCAGGATGTGGAAAAGTTTGTGGAGGACCACAGGGAAGAGCTAACCACTGAAGAGCTGCAAGACCTTCAACTGGAACAGCAACAGACTGCAGCTGAGGAAATTGCTTCAGAGGAGGAGGAAGAGAGAGGGGAGAAGGTGCCTTCTTCAATGATTAAGGACATTTGTGCAAAGTGGAATGAGGTGCAAACTTTGGTTGAAAAATATCACCCTGACCAAGCTGATACAAGCCGTATTTGCAACATGTTCATTGACAATACCTTGTCCCATTTTAGGCAAATGGTAAAGAGACGCCAGAAACAGAGTTCTCTGCACAGATTTTAGTGCAACAGGGGTCCAGTGCCAGTAAAAGACAAAGAAGGGAAGTAACCGCAGAGACGGCTTTGATACCTGAAGTCCTTATGGAAGGAGAGTCCCCTTCCAAACAGTAACCTCAACTCCCTCTCCCCTCCTCACCTTCTTCAATATGCCAACAAGAGTCTTCAATGAAGGTATGTAATGTTCATTTATCATTAAAATTAGTGCTTTATATTTATTTCTCATTGTTTTCTGTATGTAAAACTATAGTTATTCTCTAAAAAATGATTTTTTTTGTGAATATTTTTGGGTGTCTGGAACGGATTAATTGGATTTACATTATTTCTTATGGGAAATATTACTTCAGTTTTCATACATTTCGGATTTAGAATGACCTTCTGGAACGGATTAAGTACGAAATCCGGGGTTCCACTGTATATGCAGTATTCACTTCTATCATACACATTGCAGCTATGTCCACCTATTTGTTGTTGTTGTTTCAGACTTCCATAAGCACATTACAAGCTATTCAGAAATTTGTCCCCCACATCCCATTATACTTCTCATACACCAGTGGTGGTGTTGCACTTGCTTCGACTGTGGACACACTGATGTTCTAGACATTAACATGCAGACTCAACCACTCATCACCCAGTTCATGACTACCATTCTCCCACAGAAAAGCCCCTTTCTTGGACTCTTATTCAACTCTGGACAATTCAGAAATCACTGGGAACAATGTTGGTTTGAGGTAGAGCACAACAAATTGTTTTCCACTGAACTACTGTTGGATTCCTGGCCATCTTCTTTTTATAGCTATTGTGTGTGGGCCACTATGCTCACACACTTGTGAATCAAGATCCATGAATACCACATGTACCTTACTGCCAAGACTGCCAGGCTGAACTATCAGTTCACTATTGCTTGATCAAGTGTCTGTCTAGTATAGAGCACACAGAATTTGCTTTTGACATGTGTAGCGCTTGGATGCACTCACTCTAACTGACCTTAACAAAAGCCCCACATTTAACAGTGACTCATTCTAACTTTTTTTTTTAACAGAAATTAGTCTGCCAAATCATATGATTGGGACTCAAACCCATGGCAAGTGAGTCCTAAAACTCACAGGCCAGCATGCTAACCACTGTTGTGTTATGATTTACAAGTCAGAAACTAACCTATTATGTCAGCTTTGATATGAATTTTGCAGCCTGACTATCCCTCCTACACTTCACCACACCACAGTGTTCTCTGACCCTGATACAGCCCATGGCAAGTTAGTCCTAAGACTTTCTGGCCATATCACTCATATTTTCAAACTTACACTTGTTTTGTGCTTTCCATGAATATATAATAAATCTAACTATTACCATTAGTGTTTAAAATGTTTAACAAGGATATCTGGAAGCTTATTTGATCTTGTTACTTACATTTCATTGTTTGATGTGTGCAGCTCAGTTTGACACAGCGCTGGAGTACAATAAAGAACTGGAGGCTCAACTTTCATCCAATGTTGTTGAATTTCTCAACCCTAGTCAAGTTCTGGACCTCTTCGAAAGGGTAAGAATGAGTCTCTGTTTCATAAGATTCATGCTCATTTTTTTTATTAACTCTCTCAGGGTCAACAGGCCCTCTCTCAAACTTGTTCTCAGGGTTGAAAAATATTTGAAAAAAAAAAAAAAATAATTTTTTTCTTATGAAATGATAGTTTTTTTTTGTGAGTATTATAGGCCAATTTTTTTTTTTTTTTTTTTGCGATCAATACTTATGGAGATATGGAGGCGTGAAGTTGACAGAAATTGAACCGCATATGGCAACATCGCCAACTGCCGGTCACCTGGTAATAGTTTATTTTGTTTTATCTACTTTTTTCTTTTTTTCAAGTAACTTTTATGGCCTCTGAGACCAATATAAAGATTTCTTTCTTTCAACACACCGGCCGTATCCCACCGAGGTGGGGTGGCCCAAAAGGAAAAAACGAAAGCTTCTCCTTTTACATTTAGTGATATATACAGGAGAAGAGGTTACTAGCCCCTTGCTCCCAGCATTTTAGTCGCCTCTTACAACACGCATGGCTTACGGAGGAAGAATTCTGTTCCACTTCCCCATGGAGATAAGAGGAAATAAAAAAGAATAAGAACTAGAAAGAAAATAGAAGAAAACCCAGAGGGGTGTGTATATATGTGCTTGTACATGTATGTGTAGTGTAACCCAAGTGTAAGTAGAAGTAGCAAGACATACCTGAAATCTTGCATGTTTATGAGACAGAAAAAAGGACACCAGCAATCCTACCATCATGTAAAACAATTACAGGTTTTCGTTTTACACTCACTTGGCAGAACGGTAGTACCTCCCTGGGCGGTTGCTGTCTACCAACCTACTACCTATAATATAAAGACTATTTGGTATATATTCATTCATTGTATACTACACAATAACAGCACAAACTCTGCTGTCATTATATTGTCTACAAAACATGTTTACACAAACCAACAATAAAAAATGTTGTTTATTTCTATTTTTCTATCATATATATATACACATATAGTCACTGGACAGGTTCCTATAACTACAAGAGGTTCTGAAAGCTTGTAGTAGTGTGGGGGTGGACTTGTAAATATGCTGAGTCACCAGTGTGTCTTGTGTCACAATGATGCATCATACCACCACTCACTAACCTCACTGCCTTCCACAACGCATCCCTTCCTTCCCACACACCTACCTTCCTTCCTTTCCTTCCTTCATTCCTTCCTTCCTTCCTCTCATCTCTTCCTATCTACCTTCCCTCCTTCCTTACTTCTTCCTTCCTTACTTCTTCCTTCCTTTCTTCTTTCAAGTAATTTAATGGCCTGTGAGACCAATATAAGGTATATTGAATGTATATTTGCTAGTTGTATGCTACATAATAACTGTACAAACAGCCATTATATTGTTTACAAAACATGTTTACACAAACCAACAATAAAAAATGTTTATTACTATTTTTCTGTCACATTTATACACATATAAACACACATAAAGTCACTGGACACTTCCCAGAGCTGCTACAGCTTCTGTAAAGCTCGAAGTTGTTGTGTGGAGGTGGACTTGTAAATATGCTGAATCACCGGCATAATTAGTGTCACAGTGACAGTTAACACCACCACTCACCACCCTCACTGCCTGTCAACTTCCTCTTCACCCCACCAACCCACATGGAAATAAGTCACTGTCTGAATTTTTTTGGTTATCCTAGGATGATGGTCTCCTTCCTTCCCTCCTTCCTTCCTTCCCATCTCATCCTTTCTTCCTACCTTCCTCCCTCTCCTCTCTTCCTTCCTCCCTTTCTTCCTACCTTCCTTCTTCCTTCCTACCTTCCTTCTTCCTTCCTTCTTCCTTCCTTCCTTCCTTCCTTCTTCCTTCCTTCTTCCTTCCTTCTTTCTTCCTTCCTTCCTTCCTTCTTCCTTCCTTCTTCCTTCCTTCAGGTTTCCTGGGCACTGCTTTTGGTCACAAACTCCTCAAAACCATGAAATTCATCTTCACTGACACTTGCATCTGTGTTTGAACTGTCACTTGGGAATAAGAGAGCCCCAATTAGCTGAGGAGTGATGAGTTTCTTAGTGCTAGACATGGTGAACAAGGTATAATAAAATGGCTTTCCCACAATGCACCACTGGGTCCCTTTTTTTTTTTACCATGCGCACTAACCATGGAGACCCAATCTCTCACATCTAAGACTTCCAGCCTTTTCCTGCTTGATTTGAGGACACTAGAATTTATGCGTACTAGTACATCAATAACCCTGACTCATAAGACGTACTAGTATGTCGGAAACCCTGAAAGGGTTAAACACATCAGCTGTTTCTCACCAAGGCAGGGTGGCCCGGAAAAGAAAAACTCTCATCGTTCACTTCATCGGTGTCTTCCCAGAGGCATGCTTAGACTAGTTATAAAACAGCAACATTAACACCCCTCCTTCAGAGTGCCGGCACTGTACTTCCCATCTCCAGGAATCCAGTGTGTCTTGCTGCTTTCCCTGAATCCCTTCATAAATGTTACCTTCCTTATACTCCAACAGCATGTCAAGTCCTAAAAACCGTTTGTCTCCATTTCCTCCTGTCTAACAAGCTCATGCATGCTTGCTGGAAGTCCAAGCCCCTTGCACACAAAACCTTTACCCCTTACCTCAAACCTTTCCTAGGCCGACCCCTACCCTGCCATCCACTCTATCTAAATACTGTTCACTTATATGTTTCACTGCAAACACTTGGTCTACACACCCTGTACCCTTCCTGAAGCCTCCTTGTTCATCTGCTATCCTGCTCTCCATTTTTTTTTTCAACAAACCGGTTGTATCCCACCAGGGCAGGGTGGCCCAAAAAAAAAGACAAAAGTTTCTCTTTTTAAATTTAGTAATTTATACAGGAGAAGGGGTTACTAGCCCCTTGCATCTGGCATTTTAGTCGCCTCTTACAACACGCATGGCTTACGGAGGAAGAATTCTGTTCCACTTCCCCATGGAGTTATATAAGAGGAAATAAACAAGAACATGAACTAGAAAGAAAATAGAAGAAAACCCAGAGGGGTGTGTATATATATGCTTGTATATGTATGTGTAGTGTAACCTAAGTGCAAGTAGAAGTAGCAAGACGCACCTGAAATCTTGGATATTTATGAGACAGACAAAACACACCAGCAATCCTGCCATCATGTAAAACAATTACAAGCTTTCATTTTATACTCGCTTGGCAGTATGGTAGTACCTCCCTGGGTGGTTACTGTCTACCAACCTACTATCTACACTCAACAGACTTCTTTCTTTCTTTCAATGCACCAGCAGTATCCCACTGAGGTGGGGTGGCCCAAAAGGAAAAATGAAAGTTTCTCCTTTTAAATTTAGTAATATATACAGGAGAAGGGGTTACTAGCCCATTGCTCCCGGCATTTTAGTCGCCTCTTACGACACGCATGGCTTACGGAGGAAGAATTCTGTTCCACTTCCCCATGGAGGACTCAACAGACTTATTTCCCTATAATTTTTACACTCTTTTGTCCCCTTTGCCTTCATACAAAGGACCTATGCATGCTCTCTGTCAATCCCTAGATATGTTACCCTCTTCCATACATTTGTTAAATAAAAGCACTAACCACTCCAAAGCTATATCCCCACCTGCTTTTAACATTTCTATCTTTATCCCATCAATCCCAGCTGCCGTACCCCTTTTCATTCTACCTACTGCCCCACACACTTCCCCCACTCACAACTGGTTCTTCCTCACTCCTATAAGATGTTATTCCTCCTTGCCCTATACACAAAATCACAGCTTCCCTATCTTCATCAACATTTAACAATTCCTGAAAATATTTCCTCCATCTCTCCAATACCTCTAACTCTTCATTTAATAACTCATCTCTCCTATTTTTAACTAACAAATCCATTTGTTCCCTAGGCTTTCTTAACTTATTAATCTCACTCCAAAACTTTTTCTTATTTTCAACAAAATTTGTTGATAGCATCTCACCTACTCTCTCATTTGCTCTTTTTTTTTTACATTGCTTCACCCCTCTCTTAACCCTTAAATGGTCCAAACATATATATACTTTTTTTCAACATCTGAAAGGATGTAAAAAAATGTAGATCTTCTTTTTTGTTTTACATTTGAAAATGTGTAAAAAAACTTTTATCTACATTTTTTTTGTTATATTTGAAAATATGTAAAAAAAAGTAGATCTACTTTTGTAGCACTATGAATTTGAACGTTGATCTGTTTGGACCGTTTAAGGGTTAACCTCTCTTTTTCTCCCCATATACTCCTCCCTCCTTGCATCACTTCTACTTTGTAGAAACCTCTCATATGCTTACTTTTTCTCCCTTACTACTCTTTACTTTATCATTCCACCAATCACTCTTCTTCCCTCCTGCACCCACTTTCCTGTAACCACAAATTTCTGCTGAACACTAACACTATATTCTTAAACTTACCCCATACATCTTCTACCCCATTGCCTATACTCACACTAGCCCATCTGCCCTCCAGTAGTTATTTATATCTTACCCTAACTGCCTCCTCTTTTAGTTTATAAACCTTCACTTCTCTCTTACCTGCTGCTTCCATTTTCTTTGTATCTCATCTGCCTTTTACTATCACTGTAGCTACAACTTTATTTATTTATTTATTTAATAATTTGAACATACATTCAGAGGTACAAAAAATACAGGTAAGAGTAGCATGCCAAAGCCACTTGTATGTATAGCATTACGGGCTGGCTTAAAATTAACTTAAGAGTAACTAAGCAATGATGTAATCAGTGATAAAACATTATTGTAAACAGATAACAATAAAGCACAAATGAGTATTACAAAGACAGGTCATATGGTTGCATGCATTGCTGTACATTCAGTAGAATGGAGTATTCTGTTAGGTAGTGTATTTAAAAAATAACAAAGTTAGATTGGATGTTAGGTTTAACATTTATGTGATATAATTGTGAGAAACATTTAAGATATACAATTTATAAGGTTCAGTTATTCAGTATTTATTTGGTTTTTGGTGAGTAAGTGATCTTTGAGAAGAGACTTG